CCCTCCGCTCCCCGCTCCTCGCTGCTGTAGGACTGGTGAGATTGGATTCTCACTCCTAGTCACCTTTGATGGGGCCTAGAAGAGAACTACTGGACTTTTAAACTCCAAACTAGAAGTTATTTACGTAGCTTAGGGCACAAGAGGTGGGGGAATAACAACACAGGCTTCTGCGAAAAGTCTCAATTCCAAAGGCCGCCCCAGGCCCCATGACATTCAGTGGGTCTTCTGAAATAAAGGGAGGAAAAGTTTATCGAGCAGATCTTCCCTGCCAGGCTGCTGTGGCTCAGTGGTTGAGCATCCACCCATGAACCAGGAGGTCATGGTTGGATTCCCCGTCAGGCACATCCTCGGTTTCCGGTTCCACCCCTACTAGGGGCCGTGGGTAGGCAACTGACCAATGAAATAAATTTTAAAAAACCTATTAAGATCTCTTACCCTTTGAGACAGCATGGAGGGACCTGGGGAGTATTATGCTAAGCAAAATAAACCAGTTAGACAAAGAGAAGTATCATACAATCTCACTTTTATGTGGAATCTAATGAAGAAGATAAACTGATGTACTACAAAACAGATCCAGAGACATTGAAACAGGTAACAGACTGATGTATTTCAGAAGGGGTGGGGGAAGAGCTTAAACAAAGAATTTATATGCATATATGCATAGCCCATGGAAAAACAATGGTGCCTGGAAGGCCTGGGGAGGGGGCCTGGAGGGAAGTGGAGGAGGTCAAATGGGAGGGGGGAAGAAGGGGACATTTGTAATACTCTCAACAATAAAGTTTAAAAAGTTTTGAAAAAAAGCAGATCTTCCCATAGGCAATCCTAATTTAAGGTCCATGAATAGGCTTTAGGGTTTCCATGGCAACCTTTTTTGTGTTCCCTGTGAATGTTTCCAGGGGAAAGAATTTTGATTCTCACAGTTAGCTTTTCCTCAAAGACAGAAGAGATCTCCCCACTCCCTATTGTTTGAGTCCATTGTGAGTAGGGACTTTATAAATATTATATGCTGTTGGCTATATACATAAATCCTACTGCTTTTAAAACCTTCATAAGTGATTCATTCTTTTGATCACCTCTTATTTTGGTATTTTTGGTATTTTCCTTTAAAACTCCATTGACTTAATATGTATTTGCCTTCTGAAATGTTATCTGATCCTCATGACAATGTACATGTATTACAGCAACTAACAGTTCACTAAGTGAAACAAGTTAATTTTCTTTATATATATATATACTAGAGGCCCATTTCACGAATTTGTGTATGGGTGGGGTCCTGCCAGCCAGCCTGGCCCAATCAGGGAGGATCGGGGCTGGGCCTGTTGGGAGGAGGAGATGGCGGGAGGTTGGCCGGCCGCTGCCCCCCTGATCAGGACCCCGTCAGGGCCGGGCTGGCTGGGGAAAGGGCCCACCATGATTGGGGTTGGGGGCCGATTGGGGGCCAGCGGCCTGGGAGAGGGGCCATGGGTCTTTGGCTGGCCGGCCCTACCCCTTATTGGCGTGAGGAGCTGATCTGGGGTGGGGGGGAGCTGCAGGAGGTTGGCTGGCTGGCCCCGCCCCCCATTGAGGTGGGGGTGTGACCAGGGGTGGGGTGGCCAGGGGGAGGGGCTGCAGGAGGTTGACTGGCCAGCCCCGCCCCCCATTGAGGTGGGGGTGTGACCAGGGGTGGGGTGGCCAGGGGGAGGGGCTACAGGAGGTTGTCCACCCAGCCCACCTCCTATTTGGGTGGGGAGGGGGCAATCAGGAGCAGGCTAGCTGGGGAGAGGGGCTACGGGCCTATTGTGGTGGGGCGGGCTGATCAGAGGTGTGGCTGGCCAGTGGGGGGGGGGGAGGGGGGGGG